AGGAAAAACCTCCAAAGAAATAAGAGCAATGAAAAAAAAATTCCAAAATGAAATATCATTTTAATAATTTTTAGCTTTACAGTATTTGTTGCTGTGATTTCAGCAGAAGCCAAACCCAGTGCTTTAGTGGTGACACCAGTTTTAGTAAGATTGGGGGCAGCTCCTAATTTAGCAGGCATTGGACAAACTTGCTTTCTAGATCAAAACATCTTGTGTGTTGTAACAAAATTCACTCTAGCACTTTGAATAAGAGAACAAAAGAGGTCGTTGTACAAATCAGAAGAACAATGGTCCTCAATATCCTAGACAGAATGTTTCAATGCTGATGAGAACAGCTCCCTGTTATTCATACAGGGAAAGCAAAGCCCTCCTCAAAGTGCCAACATCTTGTATTCAACACCACTGTGTAGCAATCACAAGCTGGCTTTCACGATGTCATTAAAAAATGAACACAGTTTTGAGTCCATGTGTCAATATGACATCAGAAAACGCACCTGATGGGCTACTTCAGCAACCCCTCACCAGCAGGATGTTGTGTCCTACTGCCCAGCAAGCAAAAGGAAAGCAAAGAGATTGGGCAAGGATGAGCAAACTTTCATAAATGCAGATTAAAAAGCTTCAAACAAATGTAGTTGTGGAATAACTTCTCCAGAACTGAATGAGTAGAAACAGGTGCTTCTTTATACTTTCAGTGAAAAAAGATGGCAAAAAAAAAAATGCCTCATTGAAGTCTGTTGTTAACTCTTCAAACATTTTGCTGTTTCACCCTGGGTAACACCAAATAACTACATTTTCATTTAATTCCAGCAACACACAGCACGTTGGTGTACCGGGAAACTTTAATTTCTTTCCTCCATGAGTTTATCTATGTCTCGTTTTTCCTGCTTCAGCTAAACTCTGCATGTCCTGGACTCACCCTCACATCTTCCATTCCTTGTGAGCTTTCTGCAAATCCTCTGCCAAATCCCAGTCCCATCTCCACACCCCAGATCCAGGTCCTCTTCTGCACAGTATATACTGGAGAGCAGAACACTTTATTCATGTGGTTGGGAGGCAGCAGAGGGGAAGAACTAGCTACCATGCACATCAAATGCTAGCTTATGTCAGACTGAAACAATGCAGATTCATTTGGATAGCTTTACAAATACATCAGCACATTCCTTCACTGGTATTTAAAGCAAATCACCTGGAAAAGGAGAGAGATTCAGGCTGTCACAGAACACCTACTTCTCAAAGCAGCTGAAGAAGGCTCAGCAAACAATAATAAAAGCACAAGCACAGCTCTATTAACTGCACTGGTCACCACACCATCTGTCCATCAGCAACCCACAGCATTTAATTCACCATCTGCCCACAAACATTAGAAGAAGCCAAGCCTAGCTTTCATTAGGGTTCATAGAGCTTTCAAGTAAAATGTAGGTCTCAGATTTAGGTTAATACATGTTATTTCTGAGAATAACCTAGATTCATATTGATAAAGACCCCTAAGCCACCATGCTGGTGCTTCTTTTTATCTCCACTGCAAATGGTTATCAGATTATGTGGGGGTTGTTTACTGATGCCCAAGCAAGCTGCTATTTGTCAAGCTTAACTGTGGATGCTTGTAGATGAGCAGTTTAAAATCAGTGCACCTGAACCTCAAAGTCAGCTATACCAGAAGAGCTCAAAGCTGTTCCACACCACATTACCCACAATAATCAACTTCAGAAGGAAGAGGACACCTGCTCTGTTGACTTTGCCCACATCTGATCCTGGCAAGTTATTAAAAACTAAAACCAAACACCAGGAAATCAACAGAAACTCACAACAGCATCACCCCTTTTCCCTGAAGGAAAGATCTTACAAACCTTAAATACATGTTACCTTGAAAAGTAACACATGCCAAAGTTTGACAGCAAACAGTGTGTCTAACCTGTGTGCCTGACACTACACACAGAGTCAGTGACAGTGCTTATGACATGCTCATGAGCTGGGATTAAACTAAACACTTCTCCCAGCCGTAAGCATGGACCAACTGCAGAAAATACGTTGAGACTCCAGCATCCAGCCAGAAGAAGGTCCAGAGGCACTGCAGGATGGACAAACACTGAGGCTGGCTATGTTACTGCTGTGGCTATATGCAAGACAGAGCTCTGCAGAGGCACCGGTCAGTCCTGGAAGGAGCTGGGATGGACTTCCAGCATCTCATCTCAAGGTCAGGGCACAGAGTAACACGGGCTAAGTAACACAAGACTCACTCCAACACATCAGTGTCTTGTACTGGGCAGCTCAAACTGGACCTGCACTATCAACAGGGCTGCCACCAGTGCTGACTTGCAAGCACAGCCCAGGATGTGGTCAGCCCCACACAAAACCACAAGTTTATCTCCATTTAAAACAGCTTTTTTTTTTGGACTATTAGAAAAATAGAAAGGTCTGAAACGCAGGTCTCACATCACTGATGCCATGCTGTCATACAAACACTACAGTGTGTAAAATAATCCATCCCATAAAGCCCCTAATGCACCAGGTCCCCTGCAGATGGTTCTGCCACTGGAAGCTGATTGAGAACTTCACAGCTTCCTAACTGGAAACCAGCTTCCAGTCATCAGCCTTCATGATTGTGTGGCCAGTTTGGACCTGTTCTTGTAAAATTGAGATCTTCCCAAGAGCTCTTCCTCCCTGTGAAACAAATTAATCCCCCATCTAAGTGCTAAGTGCTTTTAAGTTTCTCTCTACACCACAGGATCTCCCTTCCTCTAAAAGGCCTAGCAAACTTCTTCACTTTTAATTCCCCCCTTCTCCAAGGTTGGTAAGTAAAGTCAGTCACACCAATTTCCCAGAGGCCCGAGTGTGGCAGCCAGATGTGCTTTGCTGGATTAAAAGGCAGCAGTAATTCTTCAAAGGCCAACACAAGAGCTTACCCTCCAAGTTTAAGTACTGGTCCTGGTACTGTTCCTGCAGCAGAAAATCCAAGGACCCAACATACCACCTATTCCTTTCTGACAGATTTCAGAGACTTAAAGCAGCCCTTGCGGGGTATTTTAGAGGTAGAAGGAGGGGGCTGAGCCATGTGTGCCCTGAAACCACACCTTATATGGGGAGATGCTGGAGTAAACTGAGGCCAGGACAACATTTACAGTCACAAGAGACAGTGTTAACTTCTTGCTAAAAAAAAAAAAACAAACCACCAACAAACCCCTCTTCTACATGAATTACCAAGAGGGCTCCCGGAAGGAACATCTTGTCTCCTGCCCAACTGTTGCCATGGCCACCAGCTCACTGCTGATCTAAATCAAAGCACAGAGAAGCAACAAGCACGTCCTTCCCGGGCCCAGAACTCCCCAGAGCCCCTCTCCCTGGCTGCGGGGCTCCCCAGCTCTTCCTGCAGCTCAGCCCAGGGCAGACAAGGGCACTGGGACATGCTGAGCTCAGCCAAAATGAAGGTGGCAGCACTGTGTTTCTCTAGGGCTTGCACAGCTTCAGATTTGGGCATTTCTTAAAGAAGGGCACAAAGAGGCTTGGCTTGTTGAGGGAAAGGTTAGAGTGAAAAGGCAGCAGTGATGCACAGCTCTGTTACAGGCACTACTTCCTACCTTCTCACTCTGGTTCCCCAGACGATCCTGCTCACAGACAGGCAGAGCACAGGCAAACCCAGAGCTTTGGTGGGTCATTAGAGAATTCACATCAGTGAAGGCTGATGTGTCAGGCTCTGCATTCATATTCTTTCCAGTCATAACAGACAGGCCTCAGCAGGCAGAACCCTGTACTATGTAACGCTCCTACTCAAAAGCATTGCACCCATCTATACCCACCACCCATCTGACATGGGAGTACACTGTACATCTACAAGAAATGGAAAAGATGCAGAAACACAAATGGAGACAGGCAATACAGGGAAGTGTTTAAAACCTATTATCTACCTTTATGAAAAGAGAAAAATCATTGCCTAAGACTGTTGCCACTTTTAAGACAGAAGTTATAAAGTGCTAAGATTAGTAATTTTTATACTTACAGGCTTTAAGATAATACTAAAACTCACAGTGAATCAAGCCAAAGCAGTACAGTGACATGTGCTGCCCAGATGGGCTGTACTTCCAATGTCTGATTATCAAGAGATGGAAAAAACTACCTTCTTAGGCCCGTATTTATTTTATTTCTGTTCCACACAGCCCTGTGGAAAGCCTTCTGGAATCTCATACATCAACAGATCTTTATTAAAAGCTATCATGTGATGTTGACAGCTCTACTCCCTGGCCACACCACTGGTGTAATACAGCAGCAAGAGCCTGTCCGGTGCTAAGCAAAACACTCCAGACACAGCAGCCTCCTGCAGCTGAAGAGAAAGAAATGCTGCTGGCTGCATTATCAACATGCTGAGGGCAGTCGGCAAGGCAATCCAGCATGGTAAATGAGCCCGTGTCCCACAAAACACAGCACGTAATCTCAGTGCTGTGCTGTGCCTAACAAAGAATGTGTCCTCTGTCTCAGATGCTTGTGGTGCAGTGCTCCTCTAAAAGGATTATTCCTATAGCAACCAGAGTGATCAGGCTCATCTCCACACTGCTCTCCCAGGTGAATAACCTCCCAGAGAGTGACCACGGCTGGTGGTAACCCAGGTCCAGCAAAGCAGGGTGCTGTATCTGGAGCAGCTTACTGACTTCCATCCCCTCTCAACACAAATAGAGCACACAAGCTCCTCCTTTCCTAGCCTGTGAAGCAGATGGGATGTGACAGAGCTGCAGCTCTTCAGCATATTGCATTTTTCCAAGAAACTGCTTTTCAGGAGACCAGCCATCCTGCAAAACGTCATGGAACCTTGGCAGAGCAGGCCAGGTCTACACCTCAGAGCTGAGAACAATGCGCGCTGCATGAAAGGGTGAAGGGAAACCTCTGCCAACTGGATACATTCAAGTTCTTATTGATTAAACCTTAATAGGAGGTAAAAATTAATATACAGAGCTTTTTCATCTCTCTCAGCAATACTGATGGGCCATGGGAAGTCTGCCCATGTGTCTTACCTGACAGTCGAAGTCCTGGAAATTGCGAGCTGCATTCTGTTAACAAAAAACAAGAGTTCAGCACAGTACCCCAGAACACCCCCAACACCCCCACCAAAGTTCCCCTGAGAGACCCCTGCTTCAGCACAGTCCAGCCTGACTGCAGCCACCACAGCAGGGCAATGTGAGACCCACACAAGGGAACTCCATGCAAATTCTGTCCATTACTAAGCAGCAAGGTTGCTGGAGGCTCTCCCAAGGCTGCCACCCAAGGAGAGTACCTGTGGACACAGCTGAGAGTTGAGAGCATTCAAGAAGGGACAGATACACACAGGAAGGAACCTGACCAAAGTCAAGCTGGTTACAAGGTTGGGTTTTGTCTCGTCCTGGTGCCCATTATCAATTTGAACGCAAAACTCTTGAAAGCACTACCACCAGGATCTCATGTCATGAGCACAAGAAGACAAGCTACACCGTGAGCTCCTCTGCAGTAACTGTGCAGCATCATTCCAGGGCAAACACAGTGACCTGTGAGCTGCTGAGACCAGAGCACATGGGAACAGGACTCAGCAATCCACAACTGACTTCTCCAGAGGGTGACACCACACATACAGGTGAGCACAGAAAGTGCAGACCACATTTGGCATACTGCAAGTTGGAACATCTGCAGTAACTTGTCTGTATGTCCATGTACTATCTAAGACTCTGCCTCTGACCACAGTGTACGTTACGCTGCTGAGTGCTGTCAAATGCTGCAAAGGGCTGAGCGCATAATTTGAAGCAGCATTCTGGCTTATGTGTTTTAGGCACAGCACCTTAGTGATAAAATTAGAACTAGGACCAGGTACGTACAAGAAAAACACGCCCCAAACATTTCTTCTGGCTGAGCACCTAAGCCCTTAGTACATTAAGAGTCTTACTGTACTATTTCTGGCCATTAATCTGTGCTGGCTCAAACCCCTACATCTCAAGTGAGTTGGTCAGTAAAAATCGTAGTGAACTGTCAGCTCAGTACTTTTTGGGCTCCGATAACACTGCACAGAACAGTGTGTTATAGCACCACACCCATACACTCCATAACTGAGGTCTAAAAAGTGCATGTGTATTATTTCAAGCTTGAAAGCATGAACAAAGGCCAGACCTCAGAGATGGTAGCTCCATGAGGCATTCCTTTTGTTAAAACAAAAAGGAGAGCCACTGCACACTTCCCATGCAGTGCTGAGGATGGTTCTGGAGGCACCCTACTTATTTTTTTCCTTACTGAGATACTTCCTGTAACTTCAAAACTGAGTCAAGGAAACCAAATATCACTTGGTATGTGCCCTCTGTATTCTGGTTAACACCACTGGGCTGTTTAGGTGAGCACTCTACATTTAAACCAGAACTGTCCCAGCTGCTAGATAACAGAAGTGGCCGTGCAGATGGCACCATGGCAAGGACCTGATGGGGCTGACCAGGCAATACTGCACAGAGAGACTGAAACTTATGAAGTGAAACCCACTTTGTTTTGACTTACTTCAATACCTCCTACTTAGATCAGCTCACTCGAGCAAGGGAAATCTACTCTCCTGAACTCAAACATGGGAAGTCCTCAAAGAATCATGAGCAGTGCATTTAGGAAACTAGTCTTCTATAAACCTTTATGTCTCATTTTCAAATCATGCACTGTTGCCAAGGCCTTTCTGTACTTTTATCTGCTGGTCTACAGAGATTGCATTCCTCCAAGACTCACTCTCCCTGGAAACATTTCAAAGATGATGTTTAAGCTATAGTGGAAGCCTGGTAGTGAGCACTACGCTGTAAGAACAGGCAGCTGGACTGCAGATCTCTGCTGGATTTTTACATTTCACAGACACTAAACAGACAAGGTGGCACACTGAGGAAATGAGCAATAACTAAGCAGCACAGAGTAAAACATAGCAGAATTTCAGATATTTCACCCATTTTGTGAATGTTCACCAGACAGCATAGTCTTCCCCAAATGAGTGGACAAAATACCGTGACGCTTTGGCAGCACAAACTAGTTCTTCATGTCAGTCATTAAACAGCAAAGCGTTGAGAATTGCTCCACATACCATCAAACTTGACTGTGAGGTATGGAAAATAACCAGTGCAAGATTCTAGGTTTTGTTGGGATGGCCCATAATGACTTTGGCACTCGGAGCAACAATCTGTGGCAGAATCCAGTGAGGCTAAGGCTGTCATAAAGCCCAGATGCCTCTTCTCCAGCCCACAGAAGACAGAGTGACAGCCTTAAACAGCTGCCACAATAGAGTGATTTTCCAAAGTCTCGGTATTGCATCAATCTGGACTGCTCTAGCTGGGCTCTGCAGACATTAAAAGGAAATTGCTCTCCATTACTAAATCCACAGAGACAGGGTTGTTTTGGGGGTCAAAACACAAGAAAATGATCTCAGATAAATTATTTTAAACAAAAAAAGAGGGAAAAAAAGGTAAGAAAATAGGATGCAGTCCAAGGTTTCTCTAACAAGCAGGAACTTAGTAGAAGTCAGCAATGGTATCATCACCTTTCCAGTTTCCTCCCTGCCTTTGTAAACCCTAAGTACAGGCATGACAATGACATACTGATTGGCCAGAACTCCAGACTCACCTGAACTGAAGTGGTCTGTCTTTCCCTGAGACTTTGGAAGAGTATGTGGTGGTGGATTACCAGAGTGGGGAAGCATTTACTGGTTGTCAGTACTTAAGGTACTTCAAGCTATAAAGAGATTCTGGCAATCAAGGCTCCGTGCCAGACACAAAGTCAGACAGAGTACAGCCAAAGTATTACCTTGTCATTCAGGAGTGGTTTGATCTCTGTCAACTGAACATCCTGCAATTCATCCATGGTGGTGTAAGTGGAGCCAACTAATCCTCAAAAGCAGCAAATGGGTGATTCTGAAACAAAGGCATATTGTTAGAAACAGTATTAGAAGAGATGCTAGCCAAAGCAAACGTAAAGATCTTTCATTAGACTTGTATATGCTCAAGCTGAAGCCAGAAAGTCTGAAAGAATCTGGTTCTCAGTGCAACACAAAGCCTGTGTAACTGTAGAAGGCAAACAGCCACGGCTGATCTTCCTGGTCCATTACTGCTGCAAATACTGTTTCAGGGGAAGTGGGATCTCTAGGGAATAAGACAACAAACGTCTGTGTTATACCTGCACCGTATGTTGCTCCTTTGTTAAAGCAAGCTGGGCAGCAACAAGGAAAGCTGCTGGTTTGGATTCTGGGCTCAGAATCAGGTGGAACTTCCTTGAGAGAGAACACAACACCTTCCTTTACACCAACTGGGCCCATGGAGCTGGGAAAACTGCAAGGGAACATGCAGGAAGGTAAGGGACATGCTTTGCATGAGCCTGCAGCACAACGAGCCCCGGAGTCTCTCTGGCATGGAGTAGACTCTCACCCAGGATGCTGGAGCAAGAGCTCTGAGGGGTCAGAGGTGACCTAATGCTGAGGGGAGCCACGAAACCACCGAAAACTGCTGCACCGAGAGCAAAAATCAGACAGAAAGAATAAACCTGCACAGCCACAAACGGCCAGATGGTGGATTGCTTCTCTAAACATATTGATTCCAGCCTGCTCATGCAGCAAATCTGAGGCTTTTCCACTTTCCTAGAATCTCAAAGCTTTTTGAAGGTTTTTGAAGGAGAAGGTACAGGGGGTCCCCATCAGTGCTTGCAAGCAGCTTTTTTTAGATTGCTGAACCAGCTCTTCCCAATCCACTTATGAACTATCCAGAAAATGACTGTCACAGCATCAGGATTTCATTTCAACCCATTCAGAGGATATTCTGCAGGCAGATGCATGCACTATTCTCTTCCCAAGATCTTAGCAAGCTGAATGTGATTGCCCTGAGCCACATCTGGGTAACTTGTTATTACAGCACAAGGTCTGACTTCCTCTAGATGATTATTGAGCACAACTTCACCTGAGCACCCTGCAATGCAAACAGCAATGTGGTTTTCAGACTGAAATATGGTGAAGGGGACTTGTCAAAAAAGGTCACAAGAATTTCTCAAAAGACAATGATTTGTAGCAGAGAGACCTGGTAAAACACCTCTTCAAATGCAGAGGCAAAGGGAAGGGGGTGTATCAGTGAGCTGGGCTACCCTCTGCTCCAACCATGTTAAAGACCTGCAGACATGTCTGCCCAGGAAACAATCAGTTCTCTCCCTCCACTCCTCCGGTGATTTAGAGAGCCAAACCTGTCATTTCAGCAGCTGAAATCGAGTTTAAAATACCACAACAAAGCAGCATAAATATTCATAGCACACAGAAGAGCTCCAGAGAAGACAGGCTACAGGCAAAGCAAAAGGTTTGCCTGGAATGATCTGTGTATAAATCATGCATTTTTCTATAAATGTCCCAATACCACATGCTTTGCAAGTATTCCTCCTGCCTCCATTTATAGATGGCTATAAATACACTCAAATACCCCAATTTAAATCATCCATCCCTTTCCAAACACTTCCTGAAGGCTGTAGTAGGCTCTGTGCTCTTTGAAAACCAGTAATACAAGGAATGACATTTGGTGAATCATTAGCAGAGAGACTAGAAATCAGGGTAGGACACAGAAGGCTGCAAAAAACCCCAAGGCAGGTCAGCCTCAGAAAGAAAACACCTACCTATAAATAAGAACTGGAATACGTAAGCTTACATGCTTACTCCAAGATAAGGATGCTCCCAATTTACATTATTTCAAGACATAAAAATAGAAGTTGTGTGAAAGTAAGTTCAGCAAGCCAAGAGCACGAGTACTACAGCACCCAGCCAGCAGTGGGAACTACATGTTCTGTGGGTACTTGGGTCCTGGTTTGTAGTCAGAGTTCCAGCAGTGCTGCTCCCCCCAGGGTTACAAGCTGCAAGAGCTGGATCTTGAATCCAAGTCTCTGGGCACCTCCTTGAAATATTCTGGTTTATTATGGAATTGCAATCTCTTCATGTTGTTAAGGAACACTGCAGCAAAATCTTGTATTCAGAGGCTGAAAATTCTTGTTCATTCATCTCAACTCGACTACAGCTTCAAATTTGTTAACTCTGTAGTCTGTTATACTCCTGCTTTGTATGTTAACTGCATTGAGGAGAAATTACACAAGACAGTAGCTATGCTGCGAAACATGGCATTAAATCTACCCAAATGTACACTCCTCTGTTTGGCAGCCCAGAAGAGCTGGATGAAGCAACTCTAGGAACTTACAGTCACGACAACGTGGGTTAGGTTTCCGCAGCTGCTCCCTGACACAGCCACCCCCTTCTTAGGGGATGGAAAGAAGAAATGCTGCTCCTGGGTATGGAAAAGAAGAGAACAAACCCAGAATCTGCAGGCAGTGCGAGAACCAAAGCACACTACCCATGGTCCTCAGGTTTGCAGCTCAATGTATTCAGCCGTATGTGGCGTGGAGCTCTTCACTGCAGCTTTTTCCTTTCTACAGAAGGGGATTCCTGCTTCCTGTGCCTCCGCTTCTCTGGTGCTGACACACCTGAAGACAAGCTGCTGTTGGGACTCCTTAGTCTGAGACCACAATCTCAGCATGTAGATCTGAACTAAAACGACTTTTATTTATGGGCTTTGAGACCCTTGGGC